AAAACTTCGCTTGCCATTTCTGCAGAAGAGAACTCCGCAATCACTCCCATTTTCTCATTTTTACTACATAATTGGCGCGCCTCCCTAACTTCTACATGCCGCAAATTTAGTTTTTCAGTGCAAAGCTTTTGTACTGCTGCTTTAGGTGAGGCTTCCTTCGGCAAACCGTTCACAATAACGTTCAATTTCTTACTTGCATCGACCAAACGGTTTAATTCCAGCCTGTCCAGTTCACGATCTCGCTTCATTTGCATCAATTCAGCCTTAAGTTTCTCATTTTCAGACTTTAGACTTTCTATTTGAACCCCAACCGATTGCTTCAAGTCGTTGATGGTATCTTTAGTGGCTAAACCCTCCAGCTTTTTTCTCACGTTGCCTTCTATGCTGTTTATCGCAGCCAAAATGTCATGCAAAGAGAGGTCAGGAGAAGTTTCAGACACTTTACGTTTCGCTGCTTGTGACGTCGGTGTACGTTGCATGATTATCACACGTCTTAACCGCAAACCAAATCCTTTTTTAAATTTAAAAATTTTGGTATTACTGCAGGGAGGCGGCAACCCTGTTGATTTGCTATTAGCACTTGCAGAAATTAACACGGCTATATGCCAACAGATGGCGCTATTGCTTCTTACAGCTGTTAAACACTGACTTGCAAAATTAGCGCAGCTGAAACGCCAACAGATGGCGCTGTTGATTCTTACAGAAGTAATTTACAACCAAAACAAATGCTTTCGACTATGCGCTAAAGTTTATTGCACTAGCAAGATCACCTCGCCTCAGCGGAACGCAGAGCAGCAACAGGTAGATGCTGCAACAATTTGACGATCCCAGTCACAGTCGACTCTAGCTTCCACTCCCACCTTTACAGTCGGCGATCCTCAACAGATGATAGGCCCTCCAACGGCAGCAACTAATGCAGACGAAATATGTATTTATTAACTCACTTGGCAGTCGAACTCGATGCGTCAGCGTTGAAACACCTGTTGGTCCGTTGAATTGATACCACACCAACTTTTTATATATTGGTAAACTATTTATTTGAAAACCTTTAAAGAGAGATTATTGTTTTTTTTTTAATCAAACTAAAAAAACAAAGGAATTACATACAAAGAGTCGTATGCATAAAAACTAAGCAATTGCATTTTCTTAAAGATGCCTACCTTTAACTTAAATTTATTTGAACAAATTGAATAAAAGGTCTGAACTTTTAAGAATAAGCATTTTTTTAGGTTTTATGCATATGGCCGAATAAACATGGCCACACATAAAAAAACCAGACCCACATTGCATATGGGTTAATAAAAGTTGATTTGCAATTGTTAACGACCAGTGTTGCCGACAATCATTTTTAGTGGGAGCCAAATTCCTTTAAAAAAAAGGGCTAAAAAAGAGCTAAAACAAGTCGTTGTGGCTAAAAATGGTAGCTAAAATTTTTTGCTACATATACATATATTTTCAATAAGAAATGGCATAGAAAGACAGTGAACTATGGAAAAAAGCTAATATTGTATCCAACCAAAAACCTTTTTGTATAAAAGGGGAAATATACGACACCAGATTGCTGGCTTCATCAAGTGATTGTACCATCAGGCTCTAAGCATATAACTTACTGGTACAATATTTATTTCTTTACAAATGAGGTCGACGAAAGATCGAAATGATTAGAGCGAAATTTTATAATTTTTCTACAATTTTGTTAAACATTGTTTTTTTTTTTATTCACAACTGCAATATCGGGAACTTAATCTTCCACAAACATGGCTTTGACTTATATAGAGCAAGAAATTTCCACCAAAATACTTTTTACTTAGAAAGTTTAGCTAATTTCACCGCCCACGACACCAACATGCTGGTACAATCATAAAATTTTCGAATAGTTTTTGAAGTTGCACCAGCAGCTGGTACAATCACACCACAAGAACACACACGGTCAAATGACTTGATGGGTCATTTAACAAGTTAAGTATATTAAGGGCCTTAAACGTATCTATTTTAAACTATAGTTAAATCGTTAATAGATAAGTTAACAGCCCTAAAACTTTTGCGGTATGTATGTATAAAAACGTAAGGAATATACAATACATATATGTATATATATCAGTATTTCTTAGTTTAAAAATTCATCTCTTGACTACATACATAAACGAAAAAAAATTAGTTCAAATTAAGAATATACAACTTTTTCATGCCAAGTATGAATAAATTATCCAAAGAGCTAAAAAAGGGCTAGGGGCAATTTTAAATTTATGTGGCCCAAAAAATTATGTGGTAGCTAAATCTAGCCACCAAAGGGCTAAAACGGCAACACTGTTAACGACAATTTAAAATTACAATTTAAAACACAACTGCTTTTAAATAGTTGAACCCCACTGGTTTGAAGTTTTTGAAGATTATGATCCAGTTTTAAAGTAGCTTGGTACTTATTTTATTATCGGTGTACCGGTTCCGAAGGAAGCTTGATAATTTTTCTGGTAGTTGGTAAACTGCAATCAGCTGTTCGATATTTATTCAATTATAAATCCGCCCGCCGCCGAAAGGCATAACGCATATGAGTAAGTAAAATTCCTTAAATTTCTGCTACAATAATTTTTTTTTTAGGAAAAAAGCTACGAATCCGCTGTTAATAAACATAGTTTACCAGACTAACAAAAGAAACCTGAAAAGGACGTTGATACAATTACCGAGTGTCAACCAGCAATTTAACAAAACTAC